GTCGCTCGTCCCTCTCCCGTCGGCGGCAAGCCCTCCTTCTCGGCTGTTTCTTGAGTGGAAAAAGAAAGGAGATAGAAAGATGGAGGAGAGAGACGGAGGAGATAATCGTGGTGGAGGGTTTGAACCGAAAAAGTTTAAGGAGAGAGAAGGATTGAGGAGATAAAGAATGAGTGGTGGGAGGTTTTTTGGATTTTTTTTTTTTATATTAGTGTGTGGTTTTCGGGCTTGTGGCTAACCAAACCAAAACCGGCCAACCGACCGGTCGATGGTCGGTTAACCGCTGTATCTCCCACGGTCGGTGGTCGGTAGCCGGGGGTGGTCGCTCGGTTTAACCGATAACCGAGAATTCGGTTTTCGATTAAACCGAAACCGACCGACTGACACCCCTAACTACGAGTACTGTTATGTAATTGGTCATGGTTATATTCCTTATCAGACTCGTATTCGTATTAGGGTTATTATGAGAGTCACTTGTTGTAATCTCTATATAAACCCTTTATGGTGTCAGTAATAATACACAACAGTTTCCACCGTATTTTCAATTTCCCAACATGGTATCAGAATCTGGCTCCAAGATCCAAAATAGGGATGGCAATGGGTCGGGTCGGGGACGGATAGTGCATATCCGTTACCCTACCCAAAGTAGTTCGGGTTTTACCCATACCCATACCCACATGTGAAACGGGTAGAAAATTAAAACCATGCCCATACCCGTTCGGGTTTCGGGTATCCACGGTTATCCATGGATAATAATTTCTCTTCATAACTCCAACCAATATGTTAACATTCACACGTATTCTCACATTAGTAAAAGGAAAAGTACGACAATAGTTCACTAGAATGAAGAAAATTAACTAAAACAACACAATTTCATGAAAATATTATATTTATATGCTAAATATAAAATATGTTAGAGAAAAAATAATAATTATTTCTAGAGAAAATACACATGCATGCGTATAATCGGGCGGGTTCGGGTTGGATAGTTAGAAACCCATGCCCACCCATTACCCGCAATATTCGGGTTCGGGTTTTACCCTACCCGATTAGACCGGATTCGGGTGGATATCCACGGTTACGGATATTTTTGCCATCCCTAATCCAAAAACCTTAAGCACCTTCTCTTTTTTTCTGCTGGGCGCCCACCATGAGCCCGCAGTCGCCTGGTTCTTTCTCCCAACACTGATTTCTTCCTCCAAATAAGATTGTCATTCTCGTTTTTGTTTCATTCCATTGTTGTTATGCCCCCAACCGTTCCATTCTTTTTTCCACCTATTATCATTTATCTTTTTATTCCTTTTTTTTCTTTTGTTCCAAAAAAAAATGGTAATAGGTGAAAAAAATTAATTTTTATAAGTGTTCTGGGCTTACTTGGCAGTGACGTGGCGTGTTGATCGTCCAAGATAACAATCAAATCTCGGGTTTGGCCAATTTCGTAACTTTGATATATAGTTGAGGCCACGAAGTTATAGATTGAAAATATTGGTCATGATGTTTAATTTGTAAAAAGTTCGAGTCATACAAATATAATAATTTTATCAATCCTTTTAATTTTATTGGCAATCCTTCGATGGAGATGATACATAGAGAATGAATGTATAGGTTGAATATTTGAAGAAATATCATCGTCATTTAAGTATATAAAATATAAAAATATATCCTTAATCCCATTTCATAATGAAAATTAAGCCCTCGTTAAAATGCTATTTGTTAATTAGACTCCTTCTCTACCAGTTCCAGTAGTTTGAATAGAGAATCGACCTTAATTTTAATAAATCAATCAATGATCCTCATTTTGAGATAGACATAGGTTGTGGTAGCTGCAACAACCATAAACCTAAAGACCAATAGCCACTACTATCTGTCGTACAACCAATTTTTTATCCCCTCTATCTACAATCTCAAGAGGCATTTGTTTCAACCCAAAATTCACTTTTTAATCCTTCTCCTGCAGTTCTATTTCTGCTACTTTGATGGACCTTCTCTCTGTTGCCCTCAATTTCTCTTCCAATTAGGGTTATTGTCAACTCGTTCTTCAACTCCTCAATTCTTTTCTTGTATTTGGCCAACTCATCTTCCTAAGGAGCCGTTGTAATAAGATTGGTAAAACCAACCCTCATCTCCAATTCCATCAATATGCTCATATCCTCCTTGACTGCCTTCACCTGCTCTAGTTCACTTCCATGCCCTTCAATACCCTCTCCATTTTCATTAATATCCTCATCATCTCTCACTTCTCTCTCTTCAACTACTCCAATTTTGCTTACATGTCTTTCAATACCCTACTCAATTTGGTCACTACCCTTGCCAACTCCCTATTCTCTACCTTCACCTGATGTAGTTGAACTTTACTTGCTACCAAATCCAAACATAATGTCTTCCCCCCACTACTTCCCTTACCACACCTAATCCCAACTCTTCTACTCCAAGTTCAACACCCCCACCTCCCAGAGTATTGTTGCGTGGAGAGGCTCAACTTTAACAATCATTAAGGCTTGCAATTATATTGATGGACACTAAAAACATCGACAAAATCAACAATACCTAACTAATCCTAAAACAATGTCAAAATTTGATTGGTGAGTTTGACCATAAGAATCAAGATTGATGAAGAAAAATATGGTTTTGGAGAACATTAGATATGACAAAATAAACCTAAGCGGAAATATTGTACTTGAAAAAAGAAAATGGTGATCTTGTTTTATTATTTCAATAGCTAACAAACAACAATATAGCAAACAAACAACAAAAAAGTAGGTAGGGCGATTGAAAAAGTACAATTGCTCCTGTTCTACACAAACATCTATTTGATTTCAAACAAATCTAGCACCCACAACAGTAAAAGCATCACCGCAATTGTCAAAAACGGTAAACATCTCACCGCTTTTCTTCAAAACAGTGATTATTTACCACGTTTTCCCACCTTGGTAGGTCGAGAATTAGGTCACAACAACCTAGCATTCACCGTCTTTGTCTACTGCGGTGATGGTTTCGCCGCTACTGTCAATTGTGGTGATCAGTCCATCTGATTTCCATATAAATAACCCATCCCTCACTTTCCTGCCTCAAAATCTTCCACATTCAACTCATCGTACCCACAAAAACCCCTTCCCAGCCCGTCCTCTCTAGATAGGGCTCCAGTCGAGGATGCCAAAAAGGCAATCATGTTGTCCCTCGATGACTGATGGGAATAAGTGATTCCTACAAAACAAAAAATACAATGTTGTTAGTCAAATGAAAGCAAAATAAAAACTTTTAAACTTATGAAATAATTTACAAATTTATACGGTACGGAGTGTCTACCGGATTATTGTCCCAAATTGCACGGGAGCGATGTTGTTCTTGCTCGTTTAAATATCTTCGATCCCTTGGGCCAGGATCGATATACAATCAAGGGTCGTATATCTCAGCACCCATGTATAAAAAAAATATGAAATGAAATCAGATTATTTCAAACCCATTTAAGAAAATATCACAAAAGAAGAAAAAAAACTACGTACTCTCAGAGCCTCTTCGTCCATTTTTTTTTTACGAAAGCTGGAGAGTGTATCGACAGAACTTTAGAACGAAAGATTGTAAAAAAAAACTCTAGTAATTCTTTATGATATCGAAGATCGGATTAGCCGCAACTATAGAGCATACTTAGAACGAAACTAAAGTGAAGGAATGGAGGGAGAAAGAAGTATAAAATGGTGGTGTGGTTTGGAATGAGGGGGGGAAAGTGCTATTTATAGGGGAAAGTGGCACTGGAAATTGTAGAGCGCAATCACCACTCTCCTCAAATGTTGTGAATAGCCCTCTTTTCTCGAAGAAGGGGACGCGTCTGGATCGCTGACGTGGCGAGTTGTGAAGCGTCGGATCTAGGAGAAAAATCCGAATCCGCGCTTCACCGCATCGGGCGGTAACGTTGAATGGCTTTCTTGACAGGGATCGTTGACGTGGACAACGGGGTATTCCCCACATTTGTTTACAGCGGTGAATAGCCCGCATTTGTCCACGTCAGCGATCCGCGTCCTCTCGCCGTTCTCCTCTTAAATGGTCTTTACTTTCTCCGTTTTTCTCTACTGATGATCTTATCACCGTTTTTGACAACGGCGGTGAGTGTTTCACTGTCTTAGACGACAACGGTGACTTATTCACCGTCGTTGACGATGACGGTGATTAACATCACTGTCTTGGTCTATAGCGGCGATGATCAAACTGCTATATTTTGGGAAATACTTTTATAACTACTGTATTTTTGGAATTTTTTTTATAACTAGTGTATTCTGAGATTTTTTCCTCAATTTTATTTTTCTATTAAACCCATCCATTAGTAGCGAAACAACCCAAATAAATAAAAAGACTAAATAATCCTTCCGTATTATGCGATGAAAGCAAGGAAAAATTGAATTGTGGGAGTTCTCGTGGAGAACCTCCATTTATGATTTGTAGGAGGACAAGTTGAGATTCATTTATTCATATTTGTATTGTCATGTAATTTGAGAAAGATTATGACTTTGATGCTTATGATTTCTTTAAAAATATATTTACACGTTGTTGATGCTTTGAGATTCATCAACCATCTAAATCAAATAGAGAAAATTCAACACATAATCTTTAATGAATTCTTTTGGGTAAATGTCACATTTGGTCACTGAGATTATTAAATCGTGACATGTTTAGTCATTAGAAAAATTTAATATTAATTTTGGTCACTCGAATTACTGAAACAGGTCACATTTAGTCACTCTCACGTTAGCCTCCGTCCAACTCCAGTCACTCGAATTACTGAAACATGTAATATTTAGTCACTCTAATTACTAAAACATGTCACATACCTGTTCCAGTAATTCGAGTGACCAAAATTAATATTAAATTTTTCCAGTGACTAAAAATGACACAATTTAGTAATCTTAGTGACCAAACGTGGCATCTACCGAATTCTTTTCATTGGGAACGCAAGCAAACGCTACCGTTTGACAGTAGATGGATCCTTTTGCCTACCACTACCAACCAAGCAAAGATAAAATAAAAAAAATTCCCTGCCACAATCACAAACTATCTCAAACTCCTCTGGAATTCGGGATCCAATTCAAGACCCGTCAACCGCTCCGATGGGCCTTTCCAGCAGACCCGACACTCCCGAACCAGACACCGAATCCTCTCTCCTCCTCCATCCATCAGAAATCCGCCGCCGATCTCCTCCAAGGTCCCAGAGGACAGTTACCACCTAGCCTACATAATCCACTTCACTCTCGGCTTCGGCTACCTCCTCCCATGGAACGCCTTCATCACCGCCGTCGATTACTTCTCCTACATCTACCCGGGCGTCTCCGTCGACCGGATCTTCGCCGTCGCTTACATGCTCGTCGGCCTCATCTGCCTCGCCGTCATCGTCTTCTACGCTCATAAATCGGACGCTTATATCCGGATCAATGCGGGTCTGATCCTGTTCGTCGTCGTCCTCCTGGTGCCTCCGGTTCTCGACACCACTTACATCAAGGGTCGGGTCGGGTTGTACGACGGGTTCTATGTCACCGTCGGGGCTCTGGCGCTTACCGGGTTGGCGGATGCTCTGGCCCAAGGTGGGCTAATTGGGGCCGCTGGGGAGCTGCCTGAGCGATATACGCAGGCTGTCATCGCTGGCACAGCTGGCTCTGGTAAATTTTCCCCTTTGCGTGTTCTTCTTATCTCTACTTCGGCTTGAGCGTTGACCTCCGGCTGTGAAATTTGTGGCTCGTTTCGTAATTTGGTTGAGCAGTAAGGTTGTGATTTGATGCTTTGAGAATCCACATTTGAAGCAATTTTGTTCCCTTCTGCAACCTTTGTTGTTTTGTTAGATGAACCTCTAACTTCGGCTCTGAATTTAATGTCCAAGACTCGCCTTCCTTTTGATGACAAAGGCTAGATTAAGATTCATACATTAAGTCACTGAAATAATGATGGAGATCTAGAGGATAAATTATATGCTTTTCTCATGTCTGATCTCAGTTTGATGAAAGGAAGTCCTGATTTGTATGATTGGGTATTTGGGTTTGTTCTTATAGAAGAGGAAAGTAAGTTCAAACTGAGCAGTGCCGCTCTCTAAGTTGCAACATAGTACTCTCTTGCATCTAAATGATGGCTGTTAGGAAGCTCGATTTCGAAATTACTTCTTTCGTGATGAGAAGTTTGCTTGCTTTTTTGTAGCTAAATTTTTTGTTGTAATTTTATTGATACTATGTGGGACTATTGCTGATCCAGGAGTGTTTCCTTGTCGGTAAAGGCTGTTTGATTTTGCTGATGAAAAATCTGGTAATGATGACATTCTAACTATGGAAACCATATCTATGCAGGGGTCCTTGTTTCATTTCTAAGAGTCTTCACCAAAGCTGTGTATTCACAGGATCCAACTGGGATCAGAAACAGTGCAAACCTCTATTTCATAGTTGGGATTGCAGTCATGGGCATCTGCATTGTCTTCTACAATGTGGCACACAGACTCCCAATCATGCAGTACTATGCTGATTTGAAGGTTCAGGCTGTAAACATGGAAAGAGACAAGGGTTCTATGACGGGAGCCCAATGGAGATCAAGCTTGTTGGGGACAGTGGGGAGTATCAAGTGGCACGGGGTCGGGATCGTCCTAATCTATGCCGTCACCCTGGCCATCTTTCCAGGCTACATAACAGAGGATGTGAAATCCGAGGCCATGAAGGATTGGTATCCAATCCTCCTCATAACCTGCTTCAACGTGTTTGACCTTGTTGGCAAGTCAATGACTGCACTCTACATGCTTCAGAACTGGAAGGTTGCAGTTGGTGCTTGCTTTGCTAGGCTGCTCTTCTTCCCTCTCTTTCTGGGTTGCCTGCACGGCCCTGAATTCTTCAGAACCGAGGTCCCCGTGTCGGTGCTGACTTGCCTCTTGGGACTTACCAACGGCTATCTGACCAGTGTGCTGATGATTTTAGCTCCAAAGTCTGTTCCTTTTCACCAATCTGAGACTGCGGGGATTGTCTCTGTCTTGTTCCTCACTCTTGGTCTGGCAATAGGTTCCATAATAGCCTGGTTTTGGGTCGTCTGATGTATAATCAACGCCGGCTCCGAGGCCGCTTGAAGTGTATGCTTTAAACCAGGGGCGCAAACTGATGTATGGAAATGGTGGCAGCACTTTCCTTTGTATTCATTCTCTTGATTGTGTATAAAGCAAACTAGATCCGTCCCCAATGCGAAAGGAAAACTGGGGTGGGATGCGCATGATGAAAAACTCTGAAAAGTTTCAATTTTTATGTAAATTTGGTAACCTTGTGTAGCCTACAGCCTACTTGGACATCAGAAGAAAGCAATCGCTGGCCTTTGTTTTATTACGTGTTCGCATCAAATTTAAGAGCGTCGCTGGTTTAAAAGCTGGCTCTGGTTTTGAAGCTTATAGACGCTACTTGTTAGTTCTTCAGTAAGGACGTTTACCTTCTACGAACCTAGTTATAGTGTTTACTACGAAAGTGATTTTCTTTGTCTGATAATGGGTCGGGAATCAAACTTCCAGCGACCCTTCCTGATTAAAGTGTCTTTCACTAATTGTACACATGGCGTATAGCTACGATTTGCATATAAATATTGCAACTCGTTGATCATAAGGTTAAGTCATCCTGAGTTCTTGACGATATCACATTAAAAAACTTCTTTTATTCGTCGGCACGAGAGCAGGAGGCGTAGCGCCGTCGCCGCAGGAGGCGTAGCGCCGTCGCCACAGGGTGGTGAGGCCCACCTCTCCTTCGAGGAGCATGGGGAGCAAACCACTGAGTCTGCCTCGCCGCTTGGGGTCGTTGGCATTAAGCGAGAGAGCCCCGACTGGAGAGCAGTGGTCGTCACCAGCAATGGAGACTAAGGGGCAAGGAAGTGGGAGGTGTCCCTGACAGGAGGTAGTGGTGAAGGTCGGCTTGGTTCGAAGAACAAGGGGTGAGAGGGCGGCGAAGGTTTTAGGCATTTAACTGCCTGTTTCTAATGCTAGTTTTCGCAATTTCCCCCCGAGGCGACCAAATCATATTTTCTATTTACATTTTTTTAATGGGCGGGCGGAATGGTGAAAATTTGAATATCAATCGGATGCTCGAGCGGTTTAGACTGAAACATTTTCGTTCGCACACCAACATGTCGTTTTTGTGTGTGGCTTTTCCATTGATTCGAGCAGGACTGGCAGTTTGGTCCCAATTTTACCAATGGATCTATCGGTCCAAACGAACAACGCGAGTCAGTTTTCAAAACATCTATCGCTTTCAATGTGAGGATGAGAGTGTAGTGATATGGATTATATGATTTGAAAAGTTTGGCATGGTTGAATTATTCAACGTATTTTAAATATTTTACAAGCTAGTGAGATGGGGTCTTTATGTTTATTTACCATCTGAATTCTTGGAATTAGATGGGAAGAATGATCTTCGATTTTAATACATTCTCGAAATAAAAGATAAATGGGTTTTAGCTAAGATAGTGTTATAGTGTGAGGCAACCCATTTTTCACTTGAATGCAATTCATCTGAGACTTCCCGATGTAATCGACTAGAGGTCGTTTGGAGAATATGAGTTTAAATCTATAGATTGTCAATGTTTTAAAGATTCTAAATCTTAAGATTGTTGAAAATAGATGTTAAAATGTTTATTGTTTGGTAACTGTGATTGTTAACATTCAATGAAAATATAAAATTTAATTTTCTATTAAATAACATGTTTATCCTTAATAAAATATAGAGTGGTTCGAGAAATATTAAAAACTTTGTTGATAAATACATAAAAGAAAGAGAAAAGGTAGGAGAGAAAAAATCTCACAAATCAAGATATAGAATCTCTCTGATTATGAGAGATTTGAAATTCGTAGATTTTAGAGATTTGAAATCTTTAAAACTAAAATCCACAACACAAAAAGCAACAAAAAAAAAACATAACTTTCTACAAAATCTACGGATTCAATGAATACACGCCCAAAATCTCGTTGTCCAAACAACCCCTAAGTCAAATGATATATTGCTAGATTTTAAGTTACTAATGACTCGCTCCTAACGATTCACATTGATCACAAGCAATTGGGTTTGACGAGTTTCATGACTGGGATTTGTCTTTGGTCGGGGACAAATAAACATTTAAGTGTGGGGATTTGAAAACACTTTAAGTATACACTTGTCCCCCACATTACTTAGGTTTTGATAAAATTATAATACTTAGGCCGCATTTTGATAAAATTTATGCTAAAGAGTCGATGGTTAGAAAAATGAAAGTTTTAGCACCAGTTAGTTCACTTTGGGCATTATTCGTTAGGAAACCACTTGTTGTCATGTTTTATAATTGTGTAGTGTTTCGATGATGCTTAAGGTCTTACATGTCATGATACGATTGGGGATCAATTTACATTTCATCCGAGCACTGTTGGGGATCAATTTACAATACGAAATATCAAATAGAAACGATAATGAACACACAGATTTACGTGGTTTCCCCGTTCAGTGTGAACGAGACTATTCCACGACCGAAACTATACGATTCTTTTATTCAGCTTAACTTCAGCATACAGGTTACATACATATATATATGAGCTAGGGTCCTCAAACCCTAGCTAGACTCTCGGCTAATCCCAAACCCGATACATAAGTTAAGGGGGAATGGGCCGAGCCCACATATACATCAACAGCCTCCCCCAAATTGACGAGGATCTCTCATCATCAATTTGCGAGAAAGATAGAAGTGGCGCGCAGCAGTGAACGACTTGGTTAAGAGATCGGCTATCTGGTCCTCCGAGGTAACATAGAACAGCTGAAGAATGCCATCTCTGACCAAGTCACGTATATAATGCAAATGGACTTTGATGTGCTTAGTGCGCTCGTGGAGTACTGGATTCGTAGCAATCTGGATGGCACTCGTGTTGTCAACATAAAGCTGGAAAGGACTAGCACACTCTACACCCAAATCCTACAAGAGTCGACAAAGCCAGACTAGTTCAGAAGTGACATCAGACATAGCGCGGTACTCAGCTTCGGTAGACGACTTAGAGACCCGATCCTGCTTTTACAACGCCATGAAAGAAATGATGCACCGAGGCGAACACACCACCCCATAGTCGAGCGTCTAGTGTCGATGCAACCTGCATAGTCAGAATCAAAGAATGCCTGAAGCTCAAAAGAACCCGTCGATGGAAGGAAAATGCCGACCTCCCTCGTGCCTTGCAAATAACGTAATATGCGATGAACCGCAGCCAAGTGATCTGTACAGGGGGCAGACATAAACTGACTGACAATCTGAACTGCTTAGGCGATATCCGGTCTCGTAGAAGTCTAGTAGATAAGACTGTCGACCACACTCCGATAGTACTTTCCCCCATCAGCCAATAGCCAGACTCACGGCTGAGTTTCAAATTAAGTTCCATCGGAGTGGACACAAAGCTACACAAATCAAACTGGGAAGAATCAAGAAGATCAGTAATATACTTTGCTTGGCTAAGAAGAATACCAGCCAAAGACCGCTTGACTTCCAGACCTAAGAAATTTGAAACAAGACCGAGCTCCTTCAAGCTAAACGACTCGTGTAAGCCCTGCGTGGGAGCCGCAATACTGTCACTATCATATCATCAACATATAAGAGAATCACAATGAGTCCCACGGATGTTCGCCGAGTAAACAAGGAGGGATCATTAAGACTCTGCTCGAAACCAAGAGATAATATAGTAGAGTGAAACTTATCAAACCACGCCCGAGGTGCTTGCTTCAACCCATATAGTGAACGACGCAGAAGACAGACCTGATCTGGGGTATCGTGAGGATAACCTGGTGGATGTTCCATATAGACTGTTTCCTTGAGGTCGCCATGCAGAAAATCATTCTTTACGTGCTCTGGTAAAGTGACCACCCTCGAATAGAAGTCACTGCGAGGAGATACCGAATAGTAACCATCTTGGCCACCGACGCAAAACTCTCCTCAAATTCAATACCATATTCCTGACAAAAGCCCTGTGCCACCACCCTAGCCCGGTAATGTTCAATGGTGCCATCGGGGAGCATCTTCAGGGTATAAACCCATCTAGAGCCAATGACAAGCACCTCTGGAGGAGGACGAGCTACCAAATCTCATGTCTCATTGGCATGAAGGGCATCGAATTCCGTGGCCATGACCGCATCCCAATGGGGATTCCCAAGTTCCTGCGAAAAAAGAGTAGGAAGTGGGACATGATCAACACTGTAAGTAGCATAATCCAGATGGCGAACAGGAGGAACCCCGAGAGTAGAGCGATTAGACCGGCGACGAGGAACAACAAGAGGCGAGGGCGAAAATGAAGAAGACTCATCGGTGGACGAACTCGATGATGGCGAGGGAGGGGAGTCGGGGGGCAGCGGATCATTCGGTGGATCATGGGGCACGTCATCATCATCATCTGCGAATGAGGTTGGTCTAGGGCTTCGGACTCAAGCCGCCCTAGATATCCACCCCGGAGCTAGTGATCGCGCGGTTTTGAGTACCGCTCCTAACCCAACACAACGGGGCTCGTCAGGTGCTACTGCTGGACGTCGCTCCGGGTCTGCTGCTGATGAACGTGATGTTGGCGGAGAATCTGGGGATTCCTATGCCGCATATCGCGTTGCCTTCCAGCGTCGTGTCAACTCCTCAGATGTGGAATGTTTTCACTACCGGGAGAAGGGCCACACGAAGAAGTTCTGCAAGAAAAAGAATTTTTGTGTCTATTGCAAGAAGACCAGGCACATTATCCCTGACTGCCCAGGCCTGGAGGGACGTTTTGGAGACGAGGAGGCTCGTGGTGGTGGCTCTTCCTCTTGGCTCAGCTCCACTACTGCTCGGCCTGCTTTTGCTGCGCACCCTGCGCCCGGCTCTGAGGGAATTCTGGTGACTCCTGCTACGCTAGAACAGCTTGTTAACAAGGCAGTCAATTCACCTTTTGCTAGCCTTCAGGTTTCCGGTAAGTTTCCTGCCTGGATACTCGATTTTGCTTGTTTTAATCATATGACTGGTCAAGCTGCCGCACTACAGAAAATTTTGCCAGTGGAAAATTTGTTTCTACAGGTTGCAAATGGCGAGATATACAAGTCTCGGGCATGGGTTCAGTTCATAATTCGTCTATTGATTTACCCTCTACATACCATGTGCCGAAACTTGTTCCCAGTCTTGTTTCTGTGGGTCAACTTACTGATCAAGGTTACTGTGTTACGTTTGCAACGTCTGGTTGTGTTGTTCAGGATCAGAAGATAGAGAGGGAGATCAGTAGGGGCAGCAAGAAGGGGCAGATTTTCTACCTCGGCCAGCTGCAGTCGCCATCATCATCTGTGGCGTCTACTCTTTCTGAGTCTAGAGATCCTTGTGTGTTTTCGAGTCTACCTCTTGATAATTTTCAGTTAGGGCATGCTAGGTTGGGCCACCCGAATTCTAG